AATATCAACCACTAAACCCCATAGGTATTTTATCTTTGTTGTCTGTCAACCTTTTGAATATGAAAAGGCAATGAGGAAGATGAGCTAACTCTGAAGTCGTGCTGCACAAAAAAAAAATCCTGAGAAAGGTTTTAAGGGGAGATCTTCAGTCTGTCAAATCAAAAATAACAGGCAGTGGGCGTCAGGGCTCCTTGCTTTGTAAAAAGAGAAGATGTGTGATGAATGGATGCCATGTGTTCATTCAGTGAGGTAGAGAGAGAGAGAGACGGGAACACTGGATGCAAAGGTCTTCAAGAAGAAAACACCAAACAGGAAAGACATGCAGATCAGCTTTCAGTTACAGACGTATGTTCTCATGAAGACACACCAAAACAAGTGTTGTTGTTCCCTCTTTCTCTCTCTCTCTCTCTCTCTCTCACACACTCCTCTTCCCAAATCAATTGTGGCCAATAGTTGATCATACGACAGGCGAGGGCAGAGGCTACTGGGTCACTGTTCGACATGAGTGAGAGAAACAGGCGGGGGCCAATCCATCAGCCATAACGATTTTAGATGATTACACCACGCTCCCCTACTCTTACCCTGCACTTCCTCCCTCCCATGCCCAGTCCCTGTGTTTTGCAATGTATTCTGGGCTGAAAATGCTGAGAATTTCCCCTTGCATGAGAACAAGTACAGCCATTTAAAATGTCAAAAAAGGCCCATTTGTGCAGTTTGTCATCAGTCGAAAACCCTTAAAGTTGACAACTGAGTGTGGGAATGATGAGGGGAAAAAACAGTTGCTGTTTGCTAATTTGTATTTAATAAGCTTTATAATACTGTATTGTACAGTATATTACATTAATATTAAGAAGACATACAGATTCAGAATTATATTTACTCCTAATAACTACATCTGTCATAGACCTGTGAGCTGGTAGAGCTCGAGATGAAAGTAGAACTGGTGCAATGAGTTACAGCATTTATACAGAAAATATCAATATCAATTTTCCAAATAGGTGACATGTGAATCTATAATGATGATATACTGAGCAACATAGGCTGGAGAGTGCAGGGTAAGTCAATATTTGAAATAAACCCAAGGGAAACGCCGAGGGAAGCCAAGGGAATCCAAACTTTCCAAGCAAAAAGGTGTGGATGGGTGGGTTTGTGTGTGTGTGTGTATGCATGGCACGTTATAACAAGGGGATTACTTAGAACCCTTTTTTAATACTGTGAGCAAAAGCTAGTGTTGGGGTAAGGGTAGTTTGTAATTTGACTGTACACACACACTGGGATCCCTGTTCCACAGCAAACACAGTGTGAAACCAGGAAACGGTTAAAGAGCAGGTGACAGGGATGATGAGCCAAATGGAGCTGGATATCTGAGAGCAGGGGTGAGGTTTGGGGCTGGGTTGGACAGACACAGACACAACAAACCAAAAGAGAGAGAGAGACAGAGAGAGAGACACGAGAGAGACGAGAGAGACGAGAGAGAGAGAGAGGAGTAGATTAAGCATAAGAATAAAAAAGAAATGAGAAAAGAAGGAAGGCTAAAGAGGATTTGAGTTGATTGCAGTGAAAGTGCCGTTGCCTGTTTGTACATTATTAATTCCCATCTGTTTTGATTACAAAAACATGTGGCAGCAGCTTGGGATTCACAACACACGCCACTGGTATACGGTTTAAAGCCCCGTTATCATTAACATTTGTGTCTCTAAAGTCAGAAATTTTAAAGTAATAATCCAATTCAAGAAATACATTTTATGTTAGTTCAAGACAGGTAAATTGAGAAGCTTTTATGTATGAGACATGATGAACATTCGATTGGGGGACGAGGTGATTTGTAGCACCCATCTCCTTCATGGTAATTGAGAGAGGCTTTAGAAACAAGGAGAACATTTAAAGAGAAATGTCTTTCTTTTTCTATCTTTTCTTCTAAAAAAGAGAGCGAGTCTATCTCTTGCACAATGCACACATATGCCTCCGGTGGAGGATTATTAATAGCAAATCAAAAACTTTGTTTCCATAGTGACTGTTTGAGTCCATTATGGAAAGTGTTTCCTGTTGTTACCAAGACAACAATCCAGCAATGGCAAATGAATGTGGCACACAGCTGAGTGACGCGGTGAGCTGGTGATCTCTCCATAAACAAGCTCTGCACCAAAACTGGGGGCAGGTGGAGAACTGGAGGGATGACAGTGAAAAGGTTGAAAGGATTGGAAAAACATTTTTTATGTATGCACCCATCAGTTGGGCTTATACACAACTTTTATTTTATATTGCTTTATTTAACTGTACCTTATATCCTACCTTACCTTATACCTACACCTACTGTGTACAATGACAATAAAGGCTTTCAATTCAATTCAATTCAATACAATTCAATTTCAATTTCAATTCAATTTGTCTATTTAAACAGGGTGCTAGCATCAATTATGTTGCATGAAAATCTAAACATTGCAGAAATCAGACTTTAACCTGGAAGTAACTCATTTTGCCTTTATTAGAGTGTTTACAGTAGAGTTGCAGGAAAGACAGCCATCAAGCTGCTATGATGACTTTCGTGACAACGTCTGTCACTGTGGTTAAGTTAAGTCCTTTTCGTTTGGTGCTTACAATACTGTTTGTACTCTCTGTGCATCAGTGACTAAAGAGGTCAAAGAAGGATTCATAAACTCACAAACCAAGCTTTACAACATTAGGTGTTCACACAACTTAATCCTGGACTAACAAGGATGCGGGTGTATGTAAAAGGTGCTTCAAGAAAGACACCTTGGATAAACATTCAGTCTTATGACTCTCAGCATCCACCATCCATACGGATCATAAAACAAATATAGAAGGATTAAAAGTTACATTTAACTGATGCACACTCGCAATTTGTTCTTTGATACCAAACTAGGGCCCAAATTGCTTCTGCCAATTTGGGAAAACTGGGCAAACGCTTCACTGGGGGATGGATAGCAGGACCATTTAGACAGGAGGGCCGAGTCAACCCCAGGAGGAACTCAGGAGGACAGAAATTGTCCTGTCTTGGTGATGGAATATGCTCTATTGTTGCGAGTGCCAAACTACATTTGGGTTTGGACAAATGTACTGTATAGCAACCAGAATGGTGCTCCTGCTCACTTGCGTAAATATAGAATACACTGCCACATAAGTGGGGCTTGAGAGATGTAGCAAATGAGTAACAGTTCTACAACTGACAAGCAGTAGGCATGCCATCATGCACACCGAAAACCAAGCATGACCATTTTCAGACAAATGGATAGCACGCACACACAAATACACACAGTGTCCTCAAAAGTTAAGAGGTTTAACAGAGATTCCAAAGCACCAAGAAAAGCCGAGCAAATAAGGAGAGACAGCACAGACACATCAAACCCAAACAGTACTCCACAGTATAAGGCTCTTCTCACAAAGTACTGCTGATATGGGATTTAACCTACTAATGTCCTGCATCAAGGCAAGTACTGTAGTACTGTAGGCAAGTACACGCAAGTATTTTCATTCATTTTTCATTTTCAGGTCAATCAAAAATACTAAAATGGGGGGAGCATGGTGGGTCACCTGTCTAGCTCTCTCGGCCGCTAGCTTTATAAGTTACTGTTGATTAGTTAGGTCTAGCTGTATCATGTGTTTGTACAGTCCTTGACAGTCACCAGTTTATTGAACACACCTCTTCAATCAAATGTAATCAAATACAGCAGCCCAACAATAACTCTTATCTTTGTGAAGTGTATCACGTTCATGTCAGAAGTGACTCCATTCTGTGGTAATCTATGAGCTTGTGTATTTAGTGGTGCTGTTACATTGTAAACTACAAGAGAAAGAGGTGTTTTCCAATGTTCCTTCCACAATTATTTACATGCAGGGCTTGGAATATTAGCCTCTTAGTGTAATGCTTTGTGCCTGGTTTGTTCAACAGAGAGGTAAATCAACAAGGTTCTGATGACACTGTGTCAACAAAAGTGAACATTATACAATCCACGAAGATATATTGCAGTGCTTTTACTCAAAATCTACTGCAGGGTTATTGTATTTAATTGCATTAGACTACACTAACACGGACCCCTCCCAAATAATCCTGTTTGCTTTGTTTGAAGTTTTGCCTAAAGAGAAACGTCACAAGATGTGTAATGGTGCTCAGGACACCTGTTGCAGACACCTCCTGTACTGAAATGTGGAATCTGAAGAAAACTATTTACCAGCATGTAGAGACTTGTCTTATTGAAACTGCTTTAAGCATTGTGTGTTTTAAAGGACCAGTGTGTAGGATTTAGTGGCATCTAGTAGCACAGTTGCAGATTGCACCTCCCTCACTTCACCTCTCCTTCCAAATGCGATGGAGAAATTATGGTGGCTATGAAATGCTCAAAAATCCCGAACAAACCGTTATCTAGAGCCAGTGTTTGCTTTGTCTGTTCTGGGCTACTGTAGAAACACGACGGACTACATGGAAGAAATAAAAAGCTCTTTTAAAGGTAACAAAAATGTAACTGTACTTATTTTCAGGTGCTTATACATTAATGAAAACATAGTTATGAATATTATATTGCAAATAGAGAAACACAGCATTGCTTTCACTGGCTTGCACCACATCAGGCTCACATTAGAGCCTGTTAGTATGTTCGATTAAGCATCAAGCTGTTTATCTAGGGACAGTGACAGGAGCAGCCCAGCAAAAACATACTAGGAGCAGTGACACATTTACAGAATACACCAAAACCAGTCAGGAAGCTGGTTGCACAGTATGACTAATCATTCCTTACCAAAAAAAAAAAAAAAAAAATGCAAACCACACAAAAGCGCCGGGATCAGAAACAAAACAAATGCAAATGTCTTCTGTCTTTTGTCCATCTGAGAGAACAGTAAACAAATACCCATTAAGTGCATCAGTAAACATGTAAAAACACACACCCTTTAACAGAATCTTAGCAATGTTTCCCAGAGTGTGAAAAAGCCGCCATATAAAGCTGAAACACAATGGTTTTTGCCACTGGTGCTGAAACACTTACGTTCCCAGGATCTCTTTGAAGTCATACTGATCCTTCACATCTGTGGTCTTCTTTTTCCATGCATGGCAATCGTCACCCAGTGGCATCTTCTTGTTGTTACGGTCAGAAACAATACTAGTGAAGAAACAGAGGATAAGGAGGAAATGATCATTACCAGCGGTTTAAATGCCTCCATCTCCCACCTGCAGTAAATACAGTACTGCACTGATAGTGCTCCTCACTTTTCCTATGTGGTTGTTTGCATTAACATAAAAGAGTTTTTATAACTTGGATTTACTGACATCTGTGGATTTCTTAGAGTGTTACAATGTCTATTCATAGGTGCATGCGACTAAACTTACCCGTTACTTACGATGTTACAACCAGCTTGACAAACAGACTGTTACAAAAAATTTGGTCAGTCTGTTACAGAGACAATTGCATGTGTCTCAGGTGACTTAAGAATGCGGCAAATCCTGCTTCCTTTTAAATATAGTTTTCACACACAAAACATATCATATGACATGGGGTATTGAACAAAGGCTCTCAGGCTGCATTTGATTCAGTACTGGTTCACTGTTTGTGCGAGTCCTGCACCTGCAACTTCACGGTGATTCCAAGTGGCTGCTGCCATGTTGTGGATAATCTGAAGGTCCAACATGGCAGAAGCATGCAGAGGATCTGGTCTAAATCTATAGAATTTCTTTTCTGTGCTCAGACATGTTATAAAAAAGTGATGTTCTGCAGTCATGTTCAAGTAACGGGAGTAGAATTTATGATATAGTAGAGAGGGCTAAAGGTCATGGCCAATATCTACCAGGTTAATAAGTAAACTAAAGCTTCACACTTGTGACCCGACTGTTGCTGTAGAAGTATATGACTTCAAGTATAGCACAGTTCACCTTAGTGTCAGAGCTGCATAAGGGCTGTGGACCCAGGTCATATAACTCCTTAAGTTGACAAATTCCTAAGAACAGCAAAGGTTTCCCTGGTGCTTACTAGTATTGTCAAACTTACAGTGGTATGTGTGAAAGATCTGTCTGAAGAAGCACACCAAACAAGAACCAAACTCAGACGCCTATATGTCTATATGTATATGTAGGTGTTGGTGATATGAATTAGCTACACAAACCACATACCATACCAAGCTATAGAGTGTAAAAACACTCCTGACTTTAAAAGTTAGAAAAAGACACAAACAATATTAATTCTTTGTCTCACTTATTCATATTTTCTCAGCAAAAGTTAACATTTAGATGTTTGTCCTCATCATCCTCTCAAGAGAGAGAGTGATCACAGCTATCATCGTCTAAACCCAGAAAGTCCCTATAACTCAAGACCTGGGAGACTAAAATAGCCCCTGTTCATATCAGCATGCCTCACTCCTCCTCTGTTCCTGCTGCCTGCCTGGCAACTTCACAGTCTGTCTGTACAAGATGATGTAACATATTGTTCTGGATTGTACAAGAGCCATTTTGTTAAAGACGATATAATAGCACGGTTAATCATTTCTGTATCACTTCAGAGTCAACTCATTTAAATGCCGAACTGTGCGTATGAGTGGCATTAAGCAATAGACAGGGGAAGGCTTAACACTGCTGTTGCTCAGAATAAATGTTGATAGGATGTGGCCTCTTCTAGCTGCACTGAGGTGCAGTCACTGATTGATGCACACACGTGCCATGTCTTATGCACACACACACACACACACACACACACACACACTGTGGCCCTCTCGCTGCCTTCACTAATGTCAGAAGTCGGCTTCATACCCGTTGTCATGGAAACCCAAAGGAGCTGTTAAGGTATCTGACAGTCAAAATTGCTTTAGTCTCTAATGGCAGGTGGCAGCTAAGGTGGAAATCATTCTGGTTACTTCAGTGCTTCAAATTAAAAAACACATCTGGTCAGCATCTGGGGTGTGGTTATTGGATATGGATTAGACGTTACATATCACACACAAGAAGCAGTGAAAAATGATATAACCTTCTCAGGTATAAAGTACAATTCACAAGTAATGCTTCCACATGACCGTAGGTCTGATTTTAAATGTCATATTAATTCCCTAGTACTTTGACCATTTACAGTTCATGACCGGAGGTGTGCATTTGATATAAAATGTCTGTACCAAAAGTACGAGGAACAAAACTTACAGTTGAACAATTGTTATCTGAGTCATTCATCATTTCCTCCACTACATTTTGCATGCCATTTAAAGCAACTAAAGAAAAAGGAAGTATTTCTAAATTGGTTATGAAAACCCCATCATGCAAAGTAATGTGATTAGGGGAAGTAGTAAGAGGAAGTCCAGTAAAATGCGAGTAAAAGCTTGGCCGGTAAATCTGCCATATTGGGGGTTCTGTTCCCGTCGTCTAATAACTACAGTAGGGGACAAACAAACAATACGTAGTAGGCTGTAACTCTATTCCATCCTAAGTACATCTTCAACTTGACACCAGTCTCTCTCTCTGTCTGGAATTTGAGGATCCATTACCAAGCATGATATTTTTTTCTCCAATGTTCAGGAAGAATCAGGTGATCTTTGTATTTTCTCATGTTGAGATCCTTTAGGCTTTCTTATGTCTGCTTGGGAGGAAAAGATATTGAGTATGTACTACTGAAACTAACTGATTAGCTGGTCAATACAGAAATATTCAGTGATTAATTAGCCTATTAATTAAGTACAAATATGATATATATGATTTCCACCTTCCACGAAGGTCTAGTGTGTAACATTTAAGAGGATCTGGCATAAACAGAATATAATATTAATAAGTATGTTTTCATTAGTGTTTGATCACCTGAAAATAACAACTGTGTTTGTTTCCTTAGAATGAGCCATTTTTATCTACAGAGGGAGGTTTTTTTTTTCTTCAAACTAACTGTAAAGTCTATTTTCAGAGATTATTTTAGGCTCTGGTAAACTGTGAGACTTGTCAGCAGTTTGGCCATTTCAGAGATACACTGAAAAGATGTATCAAGAAGGATTAATTAAAAATCTAAATATTATTTTTAATTATTTATATATTTTATTAATTATTTAGGCAGGGCATCATTGTCCTGTTTAAATGGACTGCAACAGCACTAGACCGTTTCAAGCACACTGAAGCCAAAGAAAGAGTGAAAACACCTCTCACATACTGCTTGTTTGTAGCATCGCACCTTGCTCATATGGAGATTCATGGAGATTCATGTTAATTCATGCACTGAGAATGGGTGATATTGAACATTCATTTAAACATCAAAGTCATTTAAAATCTATGAATGCATCAACGCTTGCTTGTCACAGGTTGTGTTCATTTTAGAAATCTAACGGTAGTAACTAACTGTGTACCCAGAAAATACCAACATGAACCTAAATCTCCTTCATAACACAAACATCTGGATATGTTTCACATGAGGCAGCTTCACATAACACTTTAAATAACACATTTCAAGCAGTTGGAGCTTTGAGGACAAAGTTGAGCAAGGGGGGTCTGTTTTTCAAACAGGCAAATGCTATAAACAGCAGAACAAGGTTCAAGTTCAAGACACGCAGGGGTAGATGGGGGCAAGTTTATTAACAAAAACGTGGGAGAGTAGAGGAGAGAGACACATGCAGGTATCGTAGGAGCATGTAGAAGGCCAAAACAGCCCCTCCATGTCCACTGATGACATGACTTTTGGCCAGTGGGTGAAGATAAGCTGCTCAAAAAACCCAAGAAGCAACAGGATTGAAGAGGCTTGAGATAGGGAGACGCACAATACCATAAACACAACTCCCTGAGCGGTTTGTGACATGCAGCATTCACCCTTGTTTAAGGTTTACACAGAAGAGAGTCGCTGTACTCACTGGTTTCCCATTCCTGTGATGTGCAGTGGACAGAAGAAACACACACACATACACGCAACCACTGTTAAATGTGACGAAATGACGTGGTTAGAGCGTGTTGTTTGAAGTGAAACTTAATTTGCAATGGTGCAGCACTGACACACACACACACATACACATGCATGCACACAGAATCAAACATACAAAGAAACAAACGTACATTAAGATATGAAGTTTAACAAATATTTTAGCCAAACTGAACTCTTAAACACATCTCAGGACAAATCCACTTGTTTACTCTGAACTGGGTGGCTAGTCTCTCTACAAAAACACATAAACAAGTTGATTCTCTTTTGTCTTTAAATGCTGAAAACTATTGATTTTACTACTATTATATCAAATCTCAGCAGACAATTAATGGCAAGGCTCCAAACTGAGGAATTCTTCTGCCAAGTTAAGAACAAAGACTCAACTCCTGCCAACGGACTGCACTCATGTTAAAACATGCTCCACTAACCATTTTCCAAGTGATTTGATTGTACTACTTCTTTTCGGGTGCATTGCTATATCTCTGATCTTTTAAAGCTTTCAGAGCATAAATCTGAAATCTGACCTGAAGACCAAAGCGGAGGAGTCTTTATAAAGTCCAGCCGCCCTGGTTTTGGATCACATTTCCTACAGTATCATGCATTTTTGAATGACAGTAACCCTTATTGCAACTCCCAACATGTGTTATTGTTTACCTCAACGGCTTTATTGTCTCTTTGGAAATCTGGGGTGTCTCGGGAATTTGCAGACAAGTGGAGAGATGCACATCGACCGGGGCGAAAGGCAGCTCAAATGAAGCTGGAGCCAGCACAACAAAACTCTATTCACCTATTTAGCACAACAGATAAAAACGATTCATCGGGTCAAACGGTTGAACTGATGCAGTTGTGGGCTTCTTCCTGCGTGCCAAGAGCAGCACGTTTAAAAGCATGAGCACAGAGAGAGCAGTGACGAGGCAGTTTGGGGTTCCCTGTAACTTGCCTGAACTAGGTGAACTATTATACGAATCAGAAAACTAACCCACACCATCAAAATAAGGTATCAACTGCTTGCCATGGTGCCCCTCCAAAACTGCATGTGCCCCCCTACCCATCAACCCCATGCATGCATCCGTTGGCTGACTGAGAGGTTTACTAACAGCGAGCTGATTGGTCAGCTGGTGTCACTGACGCACAACAAATTTCCTCTCAAAGTGGGCTTATTAATTGATAAGCAGACTTCTCTTTACAAGATCCCATAGACAGAAGAGATGAGGAGGTGTGTGTGTGTGTGTAAGAGAGAGTTGAGAGAGAGAGAGAAAGGGGAAGATAAACAGAAAAAAGGGGAAGGAGAAATGAGGGAATGGGTAAAAACTAAAAATACTCAAACAGTGGAAAATCACACATCCATACCTTCGCACCAGTTCCGCTGTAGAGCTGAATAATAAAAGGGGTCTTTCAAGACATAGTTATTTCTAGATGGTCGGACCATGCTGTATAAACTTCATTTATTACATTGCATTAGGCTAATTCAGGGAGCAATCTAGTTATACTGGTATGGAAGAAGACGAGTATCAGTCCCTCCCATATTCCATGTCAGTATCTGATCTTCGAAACTGCAGCTTCAGTTACACAGAGCTCCTGTTGATGTGAATGAGAGGACGTCTGCATAACTGACGGCTGCTGTTCACTTCAGCTGCCTCACTCCAATGTAACGTTAGTAAAGCTGAATGCAGTTTAAAAGTCAGTGAATCTCCCTCCAAAAGTTCCTCATATGATAAAAAAAAAAATCCCCATAACCATGGAGTGAGTGTAAACGCCAGGTGAGGTTAGCTAACGTTACTCACTGATAAACGCTGCTTGAAAACGAGCTGTCAAACCCCCTCTCTCAGCCAGAAACCCCCCCCGGCTCCAACAACAACCTCCCTGTCCTCTGTGGAAGAGTCAGAATTAAAAGTTGGCGCCATGGCAGCGAGGCAGCTGTTGTTCCTACCTGAAATGCAACAGTCAATAAGGTCCAGCAGCCGTGTCCTGTGTCCGTCTGTCTCTCCAACTCGGCGCGCTCTCACGCGGAGTCCGTACTTGGCAACCTCACCAGCAGCGCTCCTCCTGACGTCACCTCGGGGCAGGACGCCAGCGGACCAATCAGCGCCCGAGCTGCGGCCGCACAGGTAAACAGTTCTGCCTCGGGATTGGTCACCTCTCTCTCCACCCGTAAACCCCCGTGGGGTACGCGGTGCCTGTAGTTGAGTTGGTGTAGGTGTGCGGGTTTGACGGTGACTGTGATCAATGCCGCCTACTGTCTCAGCTTTATCGGCCACGTGTACACATACAAGGAAACCGACTCTTGTTTTATATTGCTCCGACTCATCTTCAAGAACATTGTACAGGAAGAAGATAGACAGAGATAAGCATACGGCTAAAAACGAGATAAAAGTAGGCTCAACACAGAACTGTTATGCACGTTCAAGTAGGTGAAAAATATGTGTAGCCTATTTATATATAAAAAGCAATAATGTGCAACAGCATACAATGTCTAATATAAGTCAAGAAAGTGTTTCTTATTGTAAACAAATATAAATAGTGCAAATTAAAACTATAGAATGAATAGTAAACATGTAATTAGTAAACATCTGGACCTAATAATACATAATCACTAATGTAACATCTAGATTTGATCCAGTGGTAACATGCACAAACAGAGAAACAATAGTAGTCATCACTAATGTCAGCCTGATACAGTAAGGCTGGTAGGAATAGCAAACTAGATCTAACCCTGAGAGTGTTTTCTTGACTTCCTGCTAAAACCTGCTGCTTCAGTTTCTTACACAACACACTGTCTGTATTGCATGTTATTTCACTTGTATTCTTTGTTCTTTAAATAGATTTAATTCCTCTATCGCATCTGTTTGTTTTGGCGTGTCCATGTGCTCAATTCAATCTGCATTTTTGTCTTAGTTATCCGTGTTTTATGGGTCTTACCTTTATTGGAAACAGAACAAACCCCACATGAACCCAATTGAACTAATTCATTTAGGACGACGCTCCAAAATAAACCCCAGTATGAAACCCACACAGCTAATTTCTCCATGTCCATTCACCCAACCCGGTGCGCTCCACTTGGGGAGATGTGCGGTCTCAGCTTGTGGTGGTCTAGTGCTCCATCTAGTGGATTGCAGGGCCCCAAGTTCATGGCAAGTGTACAGAAAAGATCTGACTGAAATTAAACCAAGTGTAGTACTAAAGACGGAGCCATGGGTGTGGTGCATCAACTTTTTATGGTCATTTTGATCAAAACGTTAAAATATTTAACGTTTAAGTAACATCATAATTGTTCTGTACTATTATAACATTATTTCAGGAACTTATACACGATTGAGTGCGTGGTGGTAAAATATTTTGCGCATTATTGTACTCCACATTGCATATATTGCATATAGTGTATATATTTTTATTTACAGTTTCATATTTTCTATTATATTTTGTAATATTCTTATTTTAGTGATCTTATTGTACTTGTACACTGTACTCTTTGCACTACATTCCCCTATGCTGCTGTGTGAATTTCTCCTACAGGGGTTTAATAAAGGTACATCTTATCTTAATCTTAGTCAATATTTATTGTGACTTTTTTTATGGCAGAAAGAGTATCTGTGCAACTCATAGTAGAGTGCTATTGTGTGTGCTGGTGAAATGAAATGGAGCAAATGTCTCATTACACCTGTGTTACTGATACACCCCTCCCCCATCTCACATTGGTGCACTACCAATTTAAGCTGCTACACCTGTAAATAAACAACATAAGCTGAGCATTTACAGCGGCTGCTTCCAACCTCCCCTGTGCTAAAGCTGCTGCAGTGCGCCATGTGGACGCAGGGTGGCGCTGTGCTGCAGACGGAGCGGTGTCTCGGAGCAGGCGGACCCTCTCTCTCCGTCGTCGGCAGTGAGCTGCCAGTTGCCTAGTGACGAAAAACTATCGGCTGCTGCTGATTTCCTGCGTTTCAAAATCTCGTCGCTGCCACTGAGCTAACTAACTAACTACTGCGAAGTTTCCCCACACAGACTCCATGTGTTTCTCTGTGACTCTGCAGCCGGACTATGGGCCGGAATAAAAACCTAATGGTCGCTGGATGTGTCGTGTAATGTTTGAGAAGCGTGCGAGGTCGCGGTATGAAGCGTTTTGAAGAATGATGAATAATTATATTTTCATCAGGGTCGTCGGGAGAGGGAGCTATGGGGAGGTGAACTTGGTGAAACACAGAGCAGACCGAAAACAGGTGAGAAACGCAAAATGTGTGTGTGGAGTTCAGTACAGCCCAAAAGAGATCAAATAAACAACTTAAAGCGTTAACAGATGTAGTGACATTTGTGTCTGGACGCCTCAAAGACCCGCTCAGGTTTTAGCTTACAGTTAGCTGAAGTCGGCTAAAACCTCACAGACGCTGTTTTACATTATGTTTCATATATTTGATATATAAAGTTATATACAGCTAACATAATAACGTGAACACACCCAGTGCGCTGTAAGGCATAGCGACATAAAGTCATATGTTAGTAAACATAATGTATGTTGTTATTTACAGGACAATAACACAAGTTTGACATTTGATAAAACTTGTTTCCTGTCTCAACGGTGACCCTTGAGGGACACTTTAATTGAAGCTACTGAACCTTAAGGAATTGTTTTATTAATAATATTAATTAATACTACTGAACATCATGGTGGCTAACTAATTTCAGGTGCAGAGCTCCTGTGTCAGTGTTTCACGGCTTAAAAAGTTAGGATTCATGTGTGGATCACCAACATTGACAAGATTTGTGAATCCCTGCTCTACATCAGTCATTAGATTGAGCTAAAATGATGAAGTTATGTAAATGTGAACTAAACTGGTTGAAAATGCTTCAGTTCTTCAGCTTATGGTTATGTGTCAGTTTCCTAGCGCTTTGATTTCTGAATTTGTTCATGTTCATTGTTGTAGAAAGACACGTTTTCCTTAATTTCCAATTTGTCTGTTTTCTCCCCCAGTATGTTATTAAGAAGCTGAATTTAACCACCTCCACCAAGCGGGAACGGCGTGCTGCTGAGCAGGAGGCGCAGCTTCTCTCCGAGCTGCGACATCCTAACATTGTGACATACAGGGAGTCTTGGGAGGGAGACGACTGCCAGCTGTACATTGCGATGGGTTTCTGTGAAGGCGGTGACCTTTATCATCGGCTCAAACAGCAAAAGGGCGAACTGTTACCTGAGAGGCAGGTGGTGGAGTGGTTTGTTCAGATAGCCATGGCCCTCCAGGTATGTTGTGAGGATCAGATATAATTTATTTTCTTTAAACAATTACAGGACCTCTGAAGACACTTTTGTCATTTTGTCATTTTGCTTTGCAGTACCTGCATGAAAGGAACATTCTTCACCGGGACCTTAAAACACAGAACATCTTCCTGACAAAGACCAACATCATCAAAGTTGGGGACCTTGGCATCGCCCGAGTACTGGAAAACCAGAATGACATGGCCAGCACCCTCATAGGGACCCCTTACTATATGAGTCCAGAGCTTTTCTCTAATAAACCCTATAACCACAAGGTAATCTGATTGCTGTTGTTGTTTTTTTTTTCTTTGTGAACGGTCATACTCCATACAAATGGATATTTTTTTTTCTAGTCAGACGTATGGGCCCTGGGTTGCTGTGTGTATGAAATGTCCACGCTGAAACATGCGTTCAATGCCAAGGACATGAACTCCCTGGTCTATCGCATAGTACAAGGAAAGGTGGGTTTCATCTGTTTATATATGTTTTATTAGATATTTTCTCATGCCTTTTTTTTCTCTCAAGTATTTATGCTTTTCCAGGTGACAGAAATAATCTGTTTGCAAACAGATATAGATATATAATTGAGTTACTGATCTGTTTGTCATTTCCTAAGAGTGTCAGAAGTGTTCAGGGAAATATCTTGAACAGACTGAAGTTGGGAATAGTCTCGTCCTTTCCAAAGTAGCCAAAAATAAAAAAGCTGTGGGTGTTAATTGGTAACTTTAACCATCTTGATCAGTGATTTAATAATCGATTCTCTTCTAGTTCATACAGTATGTTATATTTCTGAAACCCTAATAATCTAGAAATATAATGGATCGCAAAATAGTTTCACAATGATTTATAACATGTTTCTCTGATTTTCTCATTAGCTGCCTCAGATGCCCAGTAGATATGATCCCCAGCTGGGAGAGCTGATCAAGAGCATGCTGTGTAAGAGACCTGACGACAGGCCTGATGTCAAACTCATCCTCCGGCAGCCGTACATCAAACGGCAAATTGCCATGTTCCTGGAGGCCACTAAAGAGTAGGTGGCCTCGCTGTTATGTCTGAATTTTTAAAACCTAACCGAATGCTTTTTTGCTTGTCTTTTCCTGTCATTAATTTCTCTCTGTATAGTTATATTGGAATATTTGTGACTGGTGCTATGTTTGTTTTGGTTCTGACCAGAAAAACTGCCAAGTCAAGAAAGAAAGCTGTCGGTGGCAGTGGTGATTCTAGGGCCAACAGCGCATCGTCTGTGTCGTCTCAACCAAAACCTGAGAAAAGTCCCCAGCATGAACCTCTAGTCAGGGTGAAACTGGTGAGTGACTGGAGCAAGTCTGGTTTAACACAGAAAACTCTGCTATAATATTTTACTATTTGCCACAGTAACTTATGACTCAGTATTAGATTACTGTGTTGTCACTTATATTTCTTACATTATATATTATAATAGACTAATAGTAACATACAGTTGTTTTCTGTTATACTCTAGAATCAAGTTTCATGTCTTTTACTGCTCTCTCTTTTACTCTGTCATGCTAGTTGTTGAAATAAAATCCTCTCCTAATGTCCCCAGTGGAAATATCTGTTTGCTGCTTGGATATGACATCATGCACATGGCTGTTGTGATTGGCAAAACCCATTGGGGGGAGGGCTATTGTTTCTCTGGTAAAAATTACTGGTTCACTTTTCACTTTGGTAAAGTAAAGCCGGCAAGCGTTAGTGTTGTTAAAGTAGCATTGAGCAAATACCTTTCAAAGTCTTTTATTTTGACACAGAATCAACAAAAAATGTGTGATGTTCTTGTAGCTTTATCTTTAGATTGAAAACATACATAACATTACATCCAGGATTTCCAAATTGCCATAACCAATCCTTAATAAGTTCCATTACTGTATATTTATTCTCAGTATGTGTGTGTAGATTTGTCCTGGTCATCAAAGTAGTAAGATTCAAAACCAGTGCAGTGGATTGCTCTGATTACTATACAATTAAAGCTGTACACAGTTCTAACGTCAGGCAGGCGTCAGTGTTTATTATGGTTTATTTTTGTTCATCCTCAGAAAGAAGAGAAATCACAGCAACATAAAGTTCGGAACGGCCTCGCTGACTGCACTCCAGTCCAAACACCTCTGCCACCCAAACCCTCCTCACCTGATTCTCTCAAAGCCAGCATTGTATCCCTGGCAACCATTAGCAACATTAATATTGATATCCAACCACAGGAGGACGAGGAACCGATGAGGAGACAGGTGCAGGGGCCCCAGTCAGTTGTGTCGCACCACCGAGCAGGTAATGAACTTGTGTACAAAGACAGAAAGGGACGAGGGAAACCAGATCCTTCTCCCCCTCCTTCCCCCGTTAACCCCCCTCTGAAGAAGTCTGTATCAGGTGTTGGTACTGGGGGAGGTGACGAGAGGAAGGCACCTAATGGACTGTTAGACAATCGTCCACAGACCAGGCCGAGCCCTGGGGATACATTTTCTGTCTGTGGGGAGAAACAGATGTCAGATGTGGATGATAAGGATGATACCATGGAGTTACTTAAAGAGGCTGAAATGCAGAACCCAGTGCTCAAAGTGGAGAAAGAGGCTTTTTCTCTCCCTGCACACGAATCCAGTATAGAAAATATCGGAGCTGTTGTGGAAGTGAATATAGACAATAAAAATGACACTGGTACCCTTCTCAAGGGAGCTCCGACGCAATACCATACCTCAGACATCCAAGTAAGTGCTCTTAGATGTAGAGTAGATTTTCTCTTGTTTTCGTATGAAGTATTTGTTAATGTGTGTTAATTAATGTATTTGTAGGAAAACCTAGAATCTACTGAAAAGCTGTTAGAGCCGTTCCCTCCAACATTGGTGAGTAATTCTTGTACTCATTCTTCCATAAGCTGACTGTGTAGCGCTGCCTACATCCAATGGTCCAAAGAGCTGGAAGTTACTCTTGTATTGTGTGTGTTTAGGACCCCCTTCAGGAGGAATCTCCCTCACCAGCCAGTAATCCGGGTGTGACCACTGTATGCCAAACACCCCTGTACTTTTCATCAGAACCTTCTGTATCATGGCAGCACAGAGGGAGGGACATAAGACGGACACCTGGGGATCAGGAAAAGGTAAAGAGAGTCAGTGAGGTTGATTAAATGAATCTTTTTTTTTCTATGTTTAAAATGTTTTTCTTAATATAACTTCTGTTAGTTCAAGGTGGCTGCTCCTAGACCTTTACCTCCACCTCCTGTTGAGAGCATAGCCGTGGAGGGGAGGAAGAGAAGCAGGAGGAGCACAGAGAGCAAGAAAGCTGGTGTAGCTGCAACCTCCACATCAGTTGGGTCCTATAAGGACGGATTATTACCACTGCCACAGGTGACGATGCTCCTCCACTGTATACAGCTCATTAGTGTAAAGACGTGTATTTTATATCCATTCTTTCTTCTGACATATTTTTTGTGTTGGTAAAATCTGATTCATAATTTCTGCAGTCCTAAAACCACTAATAATTATGAAGTATTTTTTAGTAAGTGTAAATCCTTTAAGACTATAGTTTGTACAATTACAATTTAGATTGAAAGTGGAACAAAAAAAACACATTAAAAACATTGTTTTTGTCTCAGTTCTTTTTGTGCTCATGGCTAAAGACTTTACTATGTTGATCTATTCTTGCTGAAATCAGCAGAAGCAGTTTATCAATCACAGAAAAATTTGGCTAAATTTTATTTTCAGGATCGTCCTCTTTCTGCCAGAGAAAGAAGAAGACTGAGGCAGTCCCAAGAGAGTGTGAGCCAACCAGGTACTTAAAGTCCTTTCTTAACTGAATCCAGAACATCAGAGTTGGACTTAAAACCACAAGTTTTAGGAGGCTTGAGATTACTTTTTGCTCTTTCCACAGGTGTTAGTGGTGTAAGAAGGGCATCTTATGATGTCACTTCCACCAAGGATGAGCACTACAATGCCCCAGTGACCAGATCTGTTTCAGCCACTCTCCCTGAGACCAACAATAAGGTACTGACACCTCATTGCTGTGACAATGAATTGTACTTCGTACAGTCGTTAAAAAGGAACTACTGGTGTGACAAAAAACAGGTTAGATTTGCCATTTGAGGTTAATCTGATAATGAAATTAAAACATTAGTCTGTCTGTCTGTCTAAACCTGAGTCACAACAGTGGGATGTGTTTCTTTACAGCAGGATAAGCTGCCGGAGCGAAGGTCAGATGAAGATGATTGCAACTCGTCCACAAGTTCCACAGAACGTTCGGAGGGAGACTGCAGGGAAAAGTAAGTGTCTACAACACAGGAGAAAATAACATGATGTTCAACTTACCTCAACTGTTGTGTAAGATATAGTCATCATGCTGCTTTGTGTGAAAGTGTCACATTGCTTTAGTAAATTTGCTGTATAATCCATGATTTGTGGGTCATCTGCAGGAAGACTGAATCCAACGACATGCAGGATTTAGTTCACATGATGACCCAAACTTTGAGAATGGATATCGGAGATGGTGGAAGTGAGCCGGACAAAGGCAGGTTTGGCTCTACTGCACTGCCAGAATTTAAGCTGAACAGGAAGTACAGGGACACCCTGGTGCTTCATGGGAAGGCTCGAGAAGAAGCAGAGAACCTGTCACTCGGTGAAATACCAATAGGTTAGATACTTTGAGCAAACTCTATTGTCATCAGTCTGCCACTCTGGAGCTTCCCTGTAATGAACCAGCTTGTCTCTTCAAAAGGCTCCTCGTCTGGTCCAGCCAAGATCAGGAGAGCTATAGAACACCTGAGGACAGATGTGGTGAAGGGCCTGGGGGTCAAGTTGCTGGACAGAGTCCTGGAAATCATGGAGGAGGAGGATGACACCAAACGCGAGGTATTTGGGATATTATGGTTCCCTTAAGTGAAAGAATGAACTTCTACACCAGGAAGTATAATAGAAGTTGCAAAGATGTAAGCCAGATGTACACGTTACAGAAATAGCTCAGTAGTTTTCTAATGCATATATATAGTTCTAATATACAGTATGTAAACACACATACAAAGGTAACCCATTGAGACTGTAAATAAAGTTAAACTGACTTCTTAATTAAAAATAATCGGAGAACATTTAGATCAACCTGTATGATATTCATTTCATATCATACCTTTGGAACAGATTAATGTGCCTATGTACAGTGTAATCAGTTTATAAAGTTGAACCAGTCCAATAGAACTCAGTTAATTCACCTGTCCGTTGTTTTTTCTCCCTGCAGTTGTGCCTTCGAGACCAGATGGGGGATGAGAAGTACCAAGCTTATGCTGTGATGGTGAGGCAGCTGAAATTCTTTGAGGATATCGCCTTCCAGGTTTAGAGAAAACGCTGTATACAAGGGAGCATACACATTTGCATTTCCATGACACCATTTGTTAGAAAGTGGTCACAAGAGGCAAGCATCTGGACACATCTTGTACAAAAGGAAACTTGAAAGAGAAGAGAAATGTGAAAGCCAGTAGTTGTGTGGCATTGCAACTTTTTTCCTCCTGCTTGCATGCAAATCATCATTTATGCTTCCACGTTTTGTCATGCAAATTGCCACAATACAGCTGCTCTTGTTATGTAAATAATTGTGAAAAGTTTTTTTTTTTTTTTTTTTTACTTCAACCATAGAATTTGTAATGGATCCTGTAATTTTCTGGATGTCTATGCAAACGTTTCGAGTCATGTTATAGCACTCTTCTTTACACTTTCTGTAGCGGATACTCATTTGTTTATTTATAATGCAGTAATTTCAATAATTGCTTAACATATGCTGTATCTTTGAAGACGCTAGATCTCACTTCTGCTGCTGTGTTGTATTTTCTTAAACACAAAATAATGTAATGTAGAATAATGCATTGAGGATATTAACATTTGAATGATTTCTAATAAATCCTAAATGTAATTTTTGGTTACATTGTTTCCATTTGACAGTGAACTGAACAAGAAATGCAGAATTAGTCTTTGTGAACAACAACATATATATACAGCAGGAAAAAAAACAACTCTAAATACAAATGAAACATCCTATTTATGAAACATAGACGGTATCAGATGTTTATTATTTTGACACACAAGTATTTCATTATTGACTGATGCTGTAACAATGATTTCTTCCCAAATACTAAATGTGAACTGTGGGACAAAACTTGAAATAATTTCCAATATAAAAGGATGTATTAACAGTCAGGCAGGGACAGTTCTGAGTTATTTGTGCTTCTTCTTCTTGAGACTTTCCTGAGGTTTTTGGCTGGGTTCCCCGCTGGTCTCTGGTAAAGTTGGCTGCCAGGACAGAGGGTTCTGTCTGAACATAGGCCATGGAGGCAGGGTCAACTAAAGTCAAGGACAGACAGAAGAAATTATATAATGTCAGCCACATGTGCAATAATTTTGTCCTAATTTATGGTGTTATCTTGTGTTAACAGCCAAGGGTACAATTGCAGACACCTAATTTAATTATATTGGATGGACAACGTATTTATATATTGTTCCTTCCCAACAAATACAGCAGACAACAAAAACTTACCACACAGGACACAGCAAAACCAGCCAAGACTATGTACACGGTCCACCCAAACTGTTCAATGATCAGACCATACACGAATCCAATCACCTGAAAAGAAGACACAAATGATATCAATGAATCTGGCATTTTAGTGCTACGTTTTAAATTGCTCCTCTGCATGTATTATGTTTAGTTACCGCTGAGATGAGTATTATTCCTTGGAAAATCTGCTCAGCCAACTTCTGGCCTTTATAATCCTGTGACACAAAGGGACGGGAAATCATCATTTAGGCAACATTAATAACACGAGTTCACACTGAGGTAAGGACGGCAGAGGCAATATAAAAACATGGTGGGTGTAGTCTGATTTGTTTAACGCTATACTAATCTTTAGAACAGCTTAAAAATAAAAATAAAAACAATATCAATAACCGGTTACAACAACACGCTAAGCTAACGTTGCTAAACAACTCTGGCTGTAATGTTGGTGCAATAACAGACTGAACTAACAGCTGGTGACTTAAAAGCGACCGCGTTGAAAGCTACAGTGGACCAGCAGCACTGGTTTGTTTCACTGGAGTTATGGAGGATATCATAAGCTCCAGCTAGCATCTGTTAACGGTGAAACTTTAATTTAACCGCTGATATAAAACGTTAATGGATAGCTAGCATTACTATACAGGCCGCTAATGATCTCTTACCATGTGCGTGGGAATGGTCTTGAATACAGACAGCATCTTTTCACTGAAAACGATCAACAATAAACCGAAGAGATTTGTCTCGAACGGATGCGAACCATAGCAGTGAGCCTTCCGGTTTCAAACACATACGTTGTGTTGTGAAGGACCCTCAGAGTTGCAGCTTGCGTTAGCGGCGCAGGTTCACGGATCTACACGTAGTAGGGATTGGGTAAAGTGCTGGGGTGAAGTGCTGCAGTCGTCGACACATTTGCTGTGGCGTTATTGGAAAGCTCTGCCTGCCTAAATGAATGCCGGTCAATATTTTTTTTTAGCACTTTTAGCTATTAAATTTTAAGCATACTTTTTTTTTTCACACTGTATTTCCAGTCATGAAAACATAAATACAGACAAAATTAAACTCATAATTCTTTTTTCTATGCGTGAAACAGCAAGCAAATGTCTTTTTTTTTTACACTCAGGCATACACATGAGCACCCATTACGTGCTTGTGATAGCGGATAATAAACTTGTTGATGTTGAGTTGGCAGTTTGGCTCTAGCGTGGATTACTTTTGCTTCCCTGTGTGGTTTCTTGTCGGAGCTGAATTCACCTCCGCTGTGTATATTTGTAATTGAAGTACGTGGACACGCAGTTGAAAGCCGCTAGTTGACGTTGTGCGTTTGTGCGGTCGCCACGCACTGGTGCTGCAGCAGTTCACCTCAGTCCTCATTAGTCAGCCAGCTAATACCTCCCGGGCGGCACTCAGATCAACTTTGAGGATTTTTACTAGTTTGAATTTTTGTTTGAATTTTTTTATCAGGCGTGCTGGAGGGACGGATGAGGCTGTTGTCATGACACTGAGGAGAGGTGAGTTTGGATGAAACGGTTTCCTGTTTGCATGACTGAATGTATGTCTGGAGTTGTGTCTAGATAGTACAGCGCCAATGGGAAACAGTTATTAAATATAAACTCACACTTCCTGCGCTTTTTACATGTAACATTACTTCCCAACACATGTGTGGCTTTCCACGGTTTCCACGCTGACACTGTTGCCCTCAGCCATTGTTACTATCAGCTCTCCATTGTGTCTTTCAGTAAACGTGGTCATCCTTGTGCTGCTGGTTGTGGCCTTCCTGATCATAGTTCAACGGAATCTCCTCAACCTCAGTGACTTTTTACACAAGGAAAACCCAGGTATGTGCAGAGGAAGTGTACTGTGTATCCCCTGCTCTCTACCTACATATGGGGTACACTTTTTCCCTCAGAATATCTTGTGTAATTCTTGTTGTCCAGTGCATTTAAATGAAACCATGGAAGCAATGAATCAAACCCCAAATATGTTCTTTATCCAGATGCGGGGATGATTCTTCCCTTTGAATCCGAGTTGTCTCCAGACATCAGACTGCAGGCGGTGAGGAAAGGAGAGGAGATCCCTGTCCTCCTCACTGCTGTTGAGGAAAGACTTGGTGCTGTGGTTGCTGCCATGAACAGCATCTACCAGAACAGTAAAGCCAATATCGCCTTCACCATAGTGACTCTGAATGAGACGGTGGATCACCTAAAGTAAGACAATGAAGGGAGTCTGTTGCTACATCGTGCGTGCTTATTTGCCTTGGGCATATTAATGCAGGTCTCTAAGAGGAATTTGTGCAATGTTAATCGTATTTTATGTGAGCAACCATTGTTTGACGTACTCTTTTCTCTCTCTTTTTTTTTATTTTTTTTTTTACCAACAGAGCGTGGCTTAGTAAGACAAAGCTAAAAAATGTCAAATATAAGATAGTTATTTTCAAGCCTGAGCTCCTCAAAGGGAAGATACCGAAAGATCCTCAGACCCTGGAGGCTGAAAAACCAGTAATGCAACTTATTGTTTTCTCGCTGTCCCAGAATAAATATTTATCCTGCTGTTTTCCTGTTTGTCTCTTACAAACTTTGTTCTAATGGTTTGTTTTTCAGTTGACTTTTGCCAGGTTTTATCTACCTGTACTCGTACCAGAAGCAGAGAAAGCTATCTATTTGGATGATGATATCATTGTACAAGGTAAGACACCACTATAAAAGAAGAGAATTACCTTGCCCTATTGCACTAATTAACTCAAAAATGTTATAAGAGCAAGAGAAAAGGTTTTGTGAAAGGTAATAATGAATGGATTTTGTCTGTTGGATCCCAGGAGACATTCAGGAGCTTTATGAAACCGGCTTTAAACCAGGACACGCAGCGGCCTTTTCAGATGACTGCGATTCAGTATCTGCTAAGGGGATTGTTCGTGGAGCTGGGAATCAGGTGGGCAAACAGTAGTAACATCATAATGTGGAATGTTTCTTTGTAAATATGGTGGCACTAGGTTAAATAATGAATCTTCTCCAATAGAATAACTATATAGGTTTCCTGGACTTCAAGAAGGAGGCTATCAAGAAACTGGGGATGAGGGCCAACACGTGCTCCTTTAACCCCGGGGTCATCATCGCCAACCTGACTGAGTGGAGGAACCAGAACGTCACCCAGCAGCTGGAGCACTGGATGGAACTTAACACACAGTACGTTACTCACACTGGTGAAAAGATGGGTTAATATGGGGCAGTCTTTCACGCACTGAAGGCACAAATCTGTGTGTATTGCTGCTTTCCTCAGGGAGGATCTGTACAGTAAGACTCTGGCAGAGAGTGTCACCGCCCCCCCACTCCTCATTGTTTTCTACAAACGCCACTCCACCATCGACCCCATGTGGCACGTCAGGCATCTTGGTAAGTTCTTAGTGGTTACTGATAGGAAATAGGATACATTTAAAATAGTTTTACGTCAAACAGGGTTTACATGTGGACAACCCCGAACAATTATTGTTTCTCTGCAAGGTTTATGTGATATCCACAATACTGGGCGTATGTACATGCGTACAGCCCGAGTATTTTGAGAAGCTTTTAGGAGTTTTTAAAGGAATGGTTCAGCATTTATCCCTCTTCCCTGTCTTTGTGCTTAGCTAAGATGAACTGTTTCATGGCCGTAACTTCATATTTAACAGTCGTATTTGAAAATGGTATCAATTTTGGCAAGACAGTGAATAAAGCACTTCCCAAATGTTGAACTATTCCTTTAACAGACTTTTTGAGGTCATTTTTCTGTTGTGAAAAGCATCCAGTCAGTTTTAATTGTGGCAGAGTTGCAACTGACTTTGGAAGCTGTTCTGTGCACATTTTCAGGTTACAAGTATTTGGTCACATATTTGTAAATGTTAATGTTTTTGACACCAAATGCACTATGGCATAAATCCAAATTATCATACGATGGCAAAACCTTTTTTTTTTTTTTTTCAGGCACTACAGGAGCTGGAAACCGCTATTCCACACAGTTTGTGAAAGCTGCCAAACTCCTCCACTGGAATGGGCACTATAAGCCGTGGGGGAGAACATCTTCCTTTTCTGATGTGTGGGACAAGTGGTTCATTCCAGACCCCACAGGAAAATTTCATCCTGTGCGAAGACACACAGGGGACTAGACCAAAAAGTTGGTTTCAGGAACTTTCGATCAGCCAAGCCAGCCCCCGTCCCAACAGGACCATGACTCGTGATATCTCAGGAACTAAGTAAGGCCTACTCCCTTGCCAGCCCCGTACTTGAGTTCTGTCATCATCCGAACTCTCACATTCCCTTCAACACACAGAATTAACCTTTTTTTCCTGAACCCACTGCATCTTATAACTGCTTGTAGCACACACATATTTAGCATTTCTTTAGTCAGGGCCGTTGAGATAGCTTTGACACGTTCAAGATTGTCTGAAACTTTTGAAAGCTAATTATTTTAGACTGTTTTATAGGTGTATTGCATCTGAAGGATATTACCTTATTACCTAATAGACATGTATGCATCAGTTCCAGTCAGCAGTATTGAGATACCTTGTGACAATGTGCCAAGGCAACCATGTAGTTCAAACCATTGTCGAAGTAATGATGACCTAAGTAGCTATGTTTACATGCAGCTTAATACTAATTTACTTTATTTGCATACTAAAGGAGTTTATACTGTTACCTCAGCTTTGATGGTGTAGCACAGTCAACACTATAACTGGTTCAAACACGTTCTCATGTCATTACTCATTTTAGCCATGCAGACGCTGCATGTCGTTACCTCAATTCAATACTTCCTGTGGAAATGTAATTAATTTCTTTATACTTAATTGCACATAGGTTTTATTAATCAGATCCTTGTTTTGACATCTTTTAACAAGCGCTAGTGCTTAGTTCACCATCAGTCAGAAAGAAAATGCAGTTTTAACTCCCTCTTCCTCTATAATTCAACTACTCTGAATGGCATTTCCACTAATATGAATTGTTCAGTGCATCCAGTTAATTGCAGTCAAGTAAATGGTGCGCTACCCTTTTTGATTTGTCCCACTAATAATGAACTATTCCATAAACACTAATTCAGTTCTCACTTTACATGCAGACCACTACTCAAACATTCACCTTTGCCAGAAATTGGAGAACATAATGTTTGCACAATTCTCATGTTTTATCCCTGTCAGGATTTTTATACAGGTCAACAAAAAGCATTCACCTTGCTGGTGTAAATATTTGTCATCTTTTGTAAAGTACGTGAAATAAAATA